CTTTATTTGATGCCAGAGGCTATCATACAGGCCCATCGGCCTTCATCCCTCCGACATCTTTATTTGATGTCAGGGGCAATCACACAGGTCCCTCGGCCTTCATCCCTCTGGCATCTTTATTTGATGCCAGGGGCTGTCATACAGGCCCCTCAGCCTAGCTTTCATCCCTTCGACATCTTTATTTGATGCCAGGGGCTATCATACAGGCCCTCGGCCTTCACCCCTCCGGCATATTTATTTGATGTCGGGGGCAATCACACAGGCCCCTCGGTCTCCATCCCTCCGGCATCTGTATTTGATGCCAGGGGCTCTCACACAGGCCCACCTGGCCTTGCACCCCTCCGTCACCTTTATTTGATAACGGGGGGTCCTTACAAGCTCCTCAGCTTTTTCATGCAGGATCTAAGGCTGGTCTTTGATATCCCCTCAGCAGACGGACACAACCATCGCTCAAAAATCTAGGCCGAAGGGTGCATTCCTTTTGCTTCATTCTGGGGGCATCCGGTGTACTCTTTTTCCCTCAGTAGGATTTTTTTCCCCACAGGGTTTTTTCTTAATGAGGTTTTTAACGAGGCATCTCCCCATTGTGGAACAAAAGGCGTCACCCCTCGGCGGCTCCTGCTGAAGGCATGCATCACTCTACTCCTGTTTCCCTCGAGAAACTCTCGGGAAAAGGAGTGGGGGACTGGGGTACTCCCCTCGGCAAAACACGCAAATGTTAAAAATTTTCTATTTCTCAGCTACAACAAGCTGAGGCAAGATCACAACGGCAATCTACTCCCCTCGACATGATGCTTTCGGCTTACAGAATGCCTCCGGCCACACAATGCCTTCGGCCACATGATGCCTTCGGCCACATGATGCCTTCGGCCACATGATGCCTTCGGCCACATGATGCCTCCGGCCACATGATGCCTCCGGCCACATGATGCCTTCGGCCACATGATGCCTTCAGCCACATGATGCCTTCGGCCACACAAAGCCTTCAGTCAACAAATGCCCTCAGCAAAGCACACAAATGCAGATCTCTCATTACTTTACAAACTACAACAAAGAAACACATACGAGCAACACACTTACACTCCCTTCAGGAAGCTCTCAGCCCTCTACATATGGGGGAATTGAGAAAATGAGGCACCCAACAGAACAGGGAAGCCTTCGGGGAAATCACCACAGCTACTCCTTTTCCCTCAAGTACCTTTCGGCAAAAGGAGTGGGGGACTCCTGATGGAGTATATGGCCCAGGGACCCCCGACCCACATACTTCCTCTACTACAATCAGGCCCAACAGGCCCAAACGGGCCAAGCCCAGAAAAATGGAGCTCTAAGCAGCCCACAATACGCAAAGGAGTGCCTTCGGCCCCATGGCCGAAGGCTACCAGTGACAGAATCGAGCTCAGAAACATCATAGGAGAACAAGGCTTGAAAACCAAGCCTTCGGCAACTGCAGCCCTCAGCAGGTAGGAGCCCTCGGTTAGAAGAGGCAACATAGGAGACCAAGGCTTGAAAACCAAGCCTTCGGCACCTGCAGCCCTCGGCAGGTAGGAGCCCTCGGTTAGAAGAGGCATCACAGAAGAACAAGGCTTGAAAACCAAGCCTTCGGCACCTACAGCCCTCGGCAGGTAGGAGCCCTCGATTAGAAGAGCCTTCGGCCCAGCACCCTTCAGCCGAAGGCATCCACCCCGACAGAATATCCTCTTCACATGCGCCTGGATCACCGTACCAAGTACAAACGTCACCTCCAACCACCGCATTTAATGCGGCCACATGCGAGTGCCAGTGCCACCCCGGTTGAGGTGACCCCTCGACCACCAGAAAACTGACACGTGTCCTTATCTGGCATTTATTACTACTATAAATAGCACCCCTTTCCCCCATTGTAAACCACGCTTAATACATATCGAATATACACTCTCTCTCTTACTTATTTGCTCTGACTTCTCTCTAGTTATTCTCCGCAATAACCCCTCGGATAAGCTACCCCCCGGGTACACTATCCATCACCGAGCATATTCATCGACTGAGATAGTAACGGTGGAAGGAGTTGGTAGGATACCATCCTGGATAACCGTATTAGCAACACGCCTGGGGGAAACTGTCTAGATGTCTATGGTGGACGACCATTAAATTTCCAGCAATTCTTCTTCACATGACCCTCAGCTCCACAGTGATAACATGTGCGAGAAGAATTATGAGTACCTTCAATGGTGACTGAATTGGTCCTTTTACCATGGCTCACATCACTGACTACGGCAGCAGTATCAATCGAGTTCATCATTCTAGATTCTCCATCTTTGCACACTGGAAGGAGACGTCCATAGAGGTCAGAAAAACTAGGAAGGGTCCCACCAGACAGTATTTGACTCCTTGATACCTCATATTGTGGACCAAGCCCAGCCAAAACACCATGAACAAATGTTCGCTCCTCTTGTTCTTGCATACTCTTAACATCAGCAGTAATAGGGAATCAGGACCACTTTTCCTCAAAAATCTGCTTACATTCATTGTAGTATTGAAACATCGTCTGGTCCTTCATCTCCGGTCTATAGTAGTGCATCATTAATTGATGAACATAAGAGAGATCTTGTTTACTGGCATACATAGACTCCAAGTATTCCCACATTTCTTTGACAGTATCATAATGAGTAATGATACTATCAATAGAAGGATCCAGGGTATTCTGAATTTGATTGAACAATCTATCATCGGCCATCATACATTTCTTTCTTTCATCAGGATTACTTCTTGGAGGAGCCATTTCAGTTAGATGATCCCCCAGATCAAGACTATTAACATATCTTGTAATATTCCGTTTCCACTGCCCGTAATCTTTACTACCAATCAGTTTTCTCTCGGTAATTCTAGCATTACCGACCATAATCTCAGTCACGCTCTTCTTATCATCACCCATGCTTGCAAACAACTAGGGCACGAGTGATAACAAGAACAGGATGCAGATAGTGTCCACGCCTGCGCCTGCGAACAACGTCCTGCGTCGCACAAAATAAGGCTGAACCGAACCAGAGGGAGGGAGCAGAGTCGAACTTCGGGAAGTACTACCCGAAGAACCTGTGTGGCTCTGATACCATGTAAACTGAGTAATAGGGATTAAAGATGCAATGAAATCACACTTCATTATCATTAGGTATGGCCAGTATAATTACATACAAGCTAGAGAATACAAAAAAGGAAACTAAATCTGTCAGATCTACCTAGAATATTTGGTCTATCGCAGAGAATATATTAGCTACCATATATATACATAGAATATAGTGACTATTAAATATGTATATTCTAACACACCTAGACGCAACAAAATCTATTAAATTATTGGGAACCAAATCTTGAGTTGAAAATAAACTGGGACACTTCAACAGAGTGGCTGCCGCACTCTTCCATCGAGATGCCTCAGAAGCCTAAATGTCAGATTTTGCAATTCTGTGTATGTCTTTTCTGGAAGATTCATGTCAAGTAGACCAATACACCTATAATTGTCAATCTTAAGCAGCAGATCCTCACAGATGAACTGGGCACCAATAGGCATACAGCATACCACGATGATCTGCCGCTGAAGATCTATACAAGCCATGCGTGTGGGAACAGAACAACGTCAACCTTTGTTGTTGACCTTTGACATTGTTGCAAATGGACATATCAGAAGATCATCCAATGTCTATGGAAGGAATTTTGTTGGTCTGGCATGAAGGCAACATAGGCTCAGTGATCTAGTTTACCAACAACAAAAGCGTCTAAACTAACAAACTGCCAGTCTGCTTCAGCCTCTTCCAACTTCCCAATATTTTGGCCGATTTTTTCAGAGATTCGATTGGGAGTTGTCAATGGTTAGCCGAAAGTCTGTTATTTTTGTTTTAGCTGATTGTCTGTCCAAAGTGGTTCACTTCATTCCACTGGTTAATCCATGCACAGCCGTGTAAGCAAACATGGTGTTATTGTTTTGCAATTTCCATTTTCATGGCTGGCCGGAATCAATTGTACGTGTTACAAAAACAAATATGAGCTCCTTTTGGATACGTAGTTTCAATTATGTGGTACCAACCTAACCTCTTCGTCTTCCTATTGTCCTAAGACCGGCGGCCAAACAGAGGTCTTGCAATGAGTTCCCTTGGACTGGTCTGCTGTTGTCCGTGGATGGTATATTGCTATAACACAACCTACTGCAACTACTTCCGGGGGGATACTTTCCACCTAGTCTATGGCACTATGGCAGTAACCCGTCCAAGCTTCTTTTCTATATTCTAGAGGCTGCTAAAGTGGAGGGCAGCGAGCGTTAGCTTCTCGGCTATGAAGCGCTTCTATCAACCGCGCCTACCATTTATCCCAATTCCCAAGCAAAGCACCATTTGAAACATCATTTTGATACAGGGAACATGTATCTTTAATATGAGTCTGGGCGTTGGTCTAGCTACTCATACACCCACACCACCAGCTTTGGTTCACTGCATATGTTGTTACACAAGTACTATAGCCATTTCAGGTGTTGAGCAGGATCAGCCGTACAGCTTATAAGTTACACATGAATATAGATAAATTCGTATAGGATCTTTAGAGAGTAGTGAACTTATCTCACATTTACACTCTCTCACTAGTCACTACCCTTTGATCTTATGTAGAATCTCAATGTTGACTACCTTGATAAATAAATCGTGCGGATCGGTTACAAACCGCATGTAAATAAGAGAAATGACACGGTGACACCACATCGCAAAATGTGGTATCATAATATATTGAACCTCACTGCAGTCTATGAACCACACACTTGCAATGCGGTTTTTTGCACACCCTAATGGCAATCATGTGATAACATGGATGCACTTATAATATTGTGTGCTACAATTAGAAATGGAGTGGATAGAATGACATCAATCGACATTTTCACTTAGGAATAATCCTTCAAGTGGAGAAAGAGTTGCGGATTAAGACATCAAAATATATTATTCTACATTAACAAGTGCATGAGATCTAGAAAAAGAAAATGTTACCCGCGAAATTATAGCAGTGCCAGAATACCCAAGCTTAGACACACTGCATGTCCAAAAGCTATTATCATATCCATCAAGAAGCTTCTCCTTAATTATCTGAACATCCTTCTCCTGTTTTTTAGAAATTTAATATATAATCATTTAGAGCATTGCAATTATTTGGACAGACAAACAATTTATACTTGTTCTTGTATGAACTGCACAAGATGGAAAAGTGTGCATCCGAAGTTTCAAATTAAATGATGGGTAGTTGCTAAATCCTCAAATGTTTCTTAATGCACTAACGCTTCGACATGAAATAATGAAAAATTGCTTCTTTTTAAATTCACAGGTAACTATCATGAAACCTCAATTCCACCCCATAAAAACTTCAATCAAAAGAAACTCAACCCATGAATTTAAACAAAACCTCCCACTATCCAACTAATTCCCTTTGGATAGGTGGAAATTGTAAATGAAATGAATGTATGTGCGGTGTGCAGGAGATAACTAGAAGAAACCACAAACTACACCGAGTACTCATCAGTACACTCTATTTAGAAGGAAGAGTGCACAAACGGTAAAGAAAAATACAGATGAGGCGCTTCGAGAGGCCACTCTCCCATATCCTAGTTCCAACTAATTTTCTGCCTAACTCCCTTATTCCCTCCTTCCCACTTGTATAGTAATTATATTCTTACATGGCCCAGAACCCTTATTTATACCATATCACACTACTTAGTATAGTCCTATTATTATTCGAGAGAATTCTCTAAATGGGACTAAAACATAGTAGAAGTGCACAAATAGGACTGTAAGTTTATTATTCCATAGATAGGACTCTTAATTACTGATTAGACAATATTTCCCTTAATGAAATTATCCCATGATCTGCAGACCTCCAGCTACTCTGTTGCGACGATGCCTTGCACCGAGACCTCCACATTGCCGACTTTTTCCCGATCAAAATGAAGATTGCCCAATGACCTAGAGAGTAAAAATGGGGTAAATCATGCATGATATATCTGCCTTTGGTGCTGAATCTCCACCCTCCAGCCATGTGTACAGTTCTGTTTTGAAGTGTGTGGCAATGATATGCGCAAAGAAACACTCCCTCCAATCCAATTTGATTTGCAAAGTTCGGGCACACGAATTAAGGAAGATAATGAATGAAATTTGATTTTGCACTAATGCACTATGTAATTTTCAAGGGTAGTGACCGGCTCACTAAACTGTCTGTGAATTTCACTATGTATTTTTTTTTCTTCTTTTTCACTATGTAATTTTCACCATGTAATGTTAGTCGTGAATTTCACTATGGGTCATCCGGAAACGGTCTCTTTGTGTTTTAGTACAGGAGTAAGACTGCGTACATCCGACCCCCCTTACCCCACTATAGGTGGGAGCCTTTACGGCATTAGGGTGATGATGATGGTGATGACTTGTAAATTAGGCATTCTCATTAGAAAATAGACAGGAGTTTAGAATAAAAATCGATCATTCGTGGGATGCAAGAAGTACCCTTTAGAGGCTTTTGGAATGTTTCCTGAAACACTTATTTCCTTTTTCTCATTAAATATAATAAATTCACTTTGTTTTCTTGAGCCTCTTAACTTTCTATCAGAGTAGCACTTAGATAATTATACAATAGGGAGGGGTTAGAAAAATATTAAAAATGGAAGTTCTGGTCCTCCAAATGTGGCGATATAGTCAGATATATTGATAGGACCTCTCCAATCACAGTAGGAAATCACCAGAAATACGAATTATAGATGTAAAAGTAACTGAATTGCATTAACAACATGAACGAATTACAGAGTCCCAAAAGAAGGAGGTAAAACTCCAACTTCCCAGTCCCAGACTCAAGTCTAAACAGCCTGCCTTCCCTCTGCAGCTTTATTCTATTTATAGTCTTCTAAAAACAGAAGGTGGTTATTAGTTACTAACAGCCAATAACTAATAACAAGCTAGTCTATTTGGGCCTTCTAGAATATACTCTCCCATAGTATCTATTCTCATTAGTTAAACCAGCCGGATCCTTATCAATACCCCCTCCTTGCAGAACCAACTTGTCCTCAAGTTGGAGGTCAGGGAACTGATTCTGGATCATTTGAACCTCCTCCCATGAGTCTTCAAAATCAGGAAGATATTTCCAATGCACAAGAATCTCCATCTTCCCTTCCTGATTAATCCTACTGTCTCTCACAGTTTCAGGTCTCACTTGCAACTCACATTCTTCTGTGAGGCAATCTGGGAGGTTTTGGTAATACACTGTAGGTTTCAACACCTTCTTCAGTAAAGGAAATGTGGAATACAGGATGTATTCTACTTCCTTCAGGCAACTTCAATCTGTAAGCTACAGGGCTTATTCTTTCTGAAATTTCATAGGGCCCATAAAATCTTGGACTCAGTTTTTGATTGATTCTTCTAGCCAAACTTTTCAACTTGTAGGGCTGTATCTTTAGGAAAACTTTATCTCCCACTTCCAACACCTCTTCCCTTCTATGTTTATCAGCTTGCTGCCTCATCAGATTTTGTGCTCTGGCTAAATTTTCTTTCAATTCAGACAACATGCAGTTCCTCTCAGCTGTTAACTTGGCCACTTCTTCCACTGATGTCAAACTGACATCACCCCTGATGATGGCAGGTGGGTTCTGCCCAAACAAAGCCTGATAAGGAGTACTTTTTAAGGAACTGTGGTAGTTGGTATTGAACCAGTATTCTGCCCAAGGGAGCCACTTGACCCATTGTCTAGGTTTCCTTCCACTTAAACACCTCAAATAGGTCTCTAAGCATCTATTGACCACTTCAGTCTGTCCATCACTCTGTGGGTGATATGCAGTGCTATATTTGAGCTTTGTCCCAGCCAATCTGAACAACTCTGACCAAAAAGAGCTCAAGAAGAGACTATCTCTATCACTGACAATTGATTTTGGAAATCCATGTATCCTGACTACTTCCTGAACAAAAATTTCAGCTACTCCTTTGGCATTAAAAGGATGTGCCAGATGTATGAAGTGTGAGAACTTTGTTAGTCTGTCCACCACCACTAGAATAGTATCTTTGCCTTGAGATTTTGGTAGTCCTCCAATGAAATCCATGCTGATATCCCTCCACACATGTTCAGGTATTGGTAAAGGTTGTAATAACCCTGCAGGCTTCAGAGCTTGGTACTTATTCCTCTGGCAGATTTCACACCCCTGAATATAATCTTTGATGTCAGCCCTCATGCCTACCCAATAGAATAAGCTGGCAATCCTCTTCAGAGTCCTGAAATAACCTGAATGTCCTCCCACAGCAGAGTCATGGTATTCCCTGAGAATTCTCAGAACTCTAGGGGATCCCTTTGGCAAAATCAACCTCCCTTTGTAGTATAGTATCCCTCCTTTCATCTTGTAATCTGGGTATTGATCTGGCTGAGTCAAGATTTTCTGAATAACATTTCCCCATTTCTGATCTTTCTCCATTTCCTCCCCCAAACCTTCCCACTCCTGGCAAGATACTGTTGATAAACCTGCATAACTGGACTTCCTGGAAAGTGCATCAGCAGCTTTATTCTCAATCCCTGGTTTGTATTTAATGGTGAAATTGTACCCCATCAGCTTAGCTATCCATTTTTGTTGATCTTCTCCCATCACCTTCTGATCAGTCAGATACTTTAAACTCTTCTGGTCAGTATGTACTTCAAAATGTCTTCCCAACAGATAGGGTCTCCATTTCTGAATAGCAAAAACAATAGCCATCAGTTCCTTCTCATACACAGATTTGCTCAAGTGTTTGGGAGACAATTGTTTACTCATGTATGCTATTGGACCTCCTTCCTGCATAAGTACAGCCCCCAACCCTTTCCCTGAAGCATCAGTCTCCACTACAAACAGTTTATTGAAATCTGGCACCTTCAGAACTGGTACTGAAACCATAGCATCCTTCAGTTCTTGGAAAGCTTTGGTGGCCATATCATTCCATTTAAAACTGTCCTTTAATAATAAGGTGAGAGGGGCAGCAATCTTACTGTAACCTCTCACAAATCTCCTGTAATATCCAGTTAGACCTAGAAATCCTCTCAATTCCTTCGGATCTTTAGGGATATTCCACCTTTTCATAGCCAAAATCTTTTCAGGATCAGCAACTACTCCTTCCTCTGAAATGATGTGTCCCAAATAACTCAACTGCCTTTGGCCAAAAGAACATTTCTTCAAGTTAGCTACCAACTGATTTTTCTGCAAAGCCTCCAAAACCAGTCTTAAATGTTCTTTATGATCCTCTTTTGACTTGCTGTAAACCAATATATCATCAAAGAACACCAAGGCAAATTTCCTTAAGAAAGGTCTCAATACCTCATTCATGAGTGACTGAAATGTTGAAGGAGCATTAGTCAGCCCAAATGGCATGACTAAATACTCATAATGTCCCTCATGAGTCCGGAAAGCTGTCTTATGAGTATCCTCTGTCTTCATTCTAATTTGATGGTACCCAGATTTAAGATCCAACTTAGAAAATATTCTGGCACCACCTAATTCATCCAGTAGCTCTTCTATCACAGGTATGGGAAACTTATCTGGAACAGTCACTCTATTAAGGGCCCTATAATCCCCACAAAACCTCCAACCACCATCTTTCTTCCTTGCCAATAAAATGGGACTACTGTAGGGACTATTATTGTTCTTAATAATTCCAGATTTCAACATCTCTCCAATGATTTTCTCTATTTCATTCTTTTGATCAAATGAATACATGTAAGGTCTGAGATTTGGAATATTAGCCCCCTCCTTGATGCTAATTGCATGATCACAATCCTTTGCAGGTGGGAATTGCAGTGTAGCTCAGAAAACTTCTGGAAAATCTGCAATCAACATTTCCCATTCATCTTCAATTTCTGACTTCTGTTCATGATCCTCCTGCAATCCTTCACAGTATAATAGGTAGCCATCCCCCACCTGATGTAATATTTGGGTCATAGTCTTCATTGAAACTTCCATCTGATTAGAGTTCATATTGCCTTGGATGATGCAAGTGTCTCCTTTATTCCTCCATCTGATTATTTGTTGCTTAAAATTTATCTCCATGTCTCCCAGTTCAGTCAACCATTCCATTCCAAGGACTAAATCAACACCTCCTAGATCCAGTAGATAGAAGGTTTGAAGAATTTTCACTCCTTGTACATTTATACCCACTTCAGTACATCTGCCCACATTAGGTATACAGTCTCCATTCCCTATTTGTACCTTATATCCCTTGATTGGACTATAAGGTATATTCCACCTTTCTGCTAAAGCTCTGGACATGAAGTTATGAGTGGCCCCACTGTCAATGAGAATTGTCACTTCCACCTCTCTCCCCTGCCATTGTATTTTTCCCTTCACCTTGAAAGTAGTCATAGAAGGAATGCCTTCCTTGCTCAAAATGGACAACTGCATATTATTCATGTCCATCTGAACTGCCTGGTTGGTTTGATCCCCTTCTGATCCCATATACTCCACATCAGATACCTCTTCCCCCTCAGAATTTTCCACCAAAATCATCTTGTAATTTTTCAATCTGCAGATGTGTCCTCTTCCCCAATTCTCACCACACTTAAAACATAATCCTTTCTTACTCCTCTCAAGCAGTTCCTCCTGAGACAATCTAGGTCCCTGCTTCTTCAATTCCTTCCCTGCATTGTTAAATTTCTCATCCAATATCACCTTAGTTGCATTGCCAGGGCTATTAGTACTTCCAGGATAACTCCTCCACCTACTGTTGTCATTCCAGTTTTGTCCCTGAGATTGATTGAACACCTTATTTTGACTCTTCTTCTTACCTTCCTCTTTGTTTTTCACAAACATAGCCTCATTGTTCTTGTTTTCAATCAATGACACAGTGTCCATTACCTCAGCTAGAGTCCTGGTAGTATATAGCTTCAACTCTGCCCTTATATCCCTCTTCAGCCCCTTAAGGAAGACTCCTTTCAGCACTTCTTCAGACAAATGTCCCTGAGATGAAATGGTTGTTTCAAATTGGTTTCTATACTCAGCTATAGAACCTTTTTGCTTCAGACTGAATAGAGATCCCAAAGGATCTTGGACTACTTCCGGTTGAAATCTCATGATCAAAGCATTAGTGAATGTGTTCCAATTTAAGTGTACTGCCTGTCTCTCCCACCATTGGAACCAGCTAAGAGCTTGATCTTCCAAGGCGATCACTGCAACATCTAACTTCTCTCCTTCCGCCGTTCTATTCAACCGGAAATACCGGTTCATCCTCATTAACCATCCGCTAACATCCTTACCACTGAAAACCGGTAGATCAATCTTCCTTCCCATACTCGGATTGTTTCTGTGATTCCGGCGCGGTTCATACTCAACTCGCGAACCTGTATGATTCGTTTGATTATCCGACTCGTCTGAAGTATCATCATTCCTCGCATGCCTGTGCTGAGCCGTACGATGCGAGTTGTTCGACCTCTGCGAATTACTCCTGGATCGATGATGGATTTGAACTTGTAGTTCTGCAATGCTAGCCTGGATCGCTGATTGCATTGCTACCAAATTGTCCATACTCGCCTGCATATCCCGCTGGTTTCGTTCCACATCGTTGACCCTTCCTTCCATTTTGGCGCGCGTATATCTCATCCGGCGATCGACTGGCTCTGATACCAATGATAGGACCTCTCCAATCACAGTAGGAAATCACCAGAAATACGAATTATAGATGTAAAAGTAACTGAATTGCATTAACAACATGAACGAATTACAGAGTCCCAAAAGAAGGAGGTAAAACTCCAACTTCCCAGTCCCAGACTCAAGTCTAAACAGCCTGCCTTCCCTCTGCAGCTTTATTCTATTTATAGTCTTCTAAAAACAGAAGGTGGTTATTAGTTACTAACAGCCAATAACTAATAACAAGCTAGTCTATTTGGGCCTTCTAGAATATACTCTCCCATAGTATCTATTCTCATTAGTTAAACCAGCCGGATCCTTATCATATATCCCTCAAGTATTCATGTCATCACATTGCAATGAGTCGCTTTTATGGAGGAACTAGTGCTGGAGTGAAAAAGTGTTAATGTTGACCTATAACACTCAAATCACTATGTTCTCAAGGAGTCAAGGTTACTTAAACTTTTAATTCATGCGGTTATTCATAGAACACAATCAAAATGGCGATCCTTTAAAGCTTTATGCATGACTCTTATATTTTAAGATGTCACCATTATGGCAGAATTAGTCTCTGTTACCTTGGAGACTGATTCCACCATGATACTTGCAACTCAGAATTCAATAATCAACTGTTATTACATCATGGCACATAAATTTTAGAGAATAAGTCAGCAAATTACAGTCAAACTTAAAATACCATGATTAGATTACAATTGTTACCACCATTGGATAAACAAAACATAACATATTTTCAACTTTGTCTAGCTTTAAATTACAGCCTAGGACTACAGACAACTGTAAATTATACTTCTATTTTTTGAAATAAACTAAGAAGATAATCTGAATTCTATTTTAAAACACATTTACACTTATAAAACTATCGCAGAAACATAAGTTCCCAGGAAAGTAAGGCTGTAAGGGCATATGCAATAAACCAAAGCATAGACAATTAATACGCAAGGAACTGTTAAATACTAGGCAGAGTACAACTAGCCTGCAATTTAGTCTCCTGCAAGCATAGAACATCAAATTCTTCTCTCTGTGCAAGTTGCTTTATGCAAACACTGTCCAACTTCAGTAAACCTCTCAAACCATTAACATTCCAAGAAATTAACTTCAATGCTTTAGCGGTACCAGTAAGTGGAGGCGGCCTCAGAGTTTTGGGATTGTATGCAATCCATCCATCCTTTGGCTTCTTGTGAGCGAAAATTGTCCAAGGTTCATCATGATTTGCGGTAAGATTAACACTCTGAAAGAAGAGCTTTCTTTTCAATTGTTCCTTCCCCTTACCTAGATGTTTGAAAATTGATAATGAATACATTGTAGAAATAAACGCTTATATTCTACTCGCCATCGCATTAAATTTTATGTGAGTGGATAGATGTTAGGATTTACTTTTAACTTTTTTTAATTGACAGTGTTGACAGCAAGCAAGAAAGTTAATCACATAAATTCAGGAGCAATCAGGGAGCTTATTAGCATGGATTTTTAGATCTACTGAGCATGGTTTTACGGATCTTATCAATCTATGCTTGATATTTAATTTATTACTTGCCCTTATTTTATTTTTCAAGAGACTAGGAAGGGCAATAAGGGCAGGGGACGCTCGCGTGCACCCACCCTGCGGGGGGGGGGTGTGGGGCTTGGGGCAGGTTTCTTGGAAGCTTTATTCCGTTCTTATTTATTCCGATTTCTTTCCCCCGCCAATAAAATCTCTCTTATTTCTTAGAATATGTTCTCTCTACCCTTGACTCCCTATCATTTGGTCCTAGCTGCCACTCTATGCCCTCCCCCTCCCACTACATTGAGTTTCTTAGGGAGAAGAGGCAAATAAATAAAATTATCTGCCCATAAAATCAATCAAAAAGATCACATTTTACCCAACAGGGGTGGATTGAGTTCTATTGGTATCAATGCATATCATTTAGACATCTGGTAGATGATTTTGTACCATATGAGATTATGAGATTTCTTCTATGAGAAGTCCTTAGCAATACCTTGAAATATTAAAAGACGATTTCATAACATTTCAAGTCTTGATATGGATTGATTTTACTTTAGATGCAAGAAAGCAAAACATGCATTTCACGGTCAGAACTTCTACGGTAGATGTTTCACTTAAACATAAATTTTGCTGATACCAAAAAAAAGATTGCTTTCGCAGATCCACCATCGACACCTCCAACCTTGACAGTTGATATTGAAACCTCAACAACTGCCACTACAGCTATTGCCATCAATGCCTCCAACCTCAACGCTACCAGCCTACAACCCACACCCCTGACCAATGCTAAGGTTACTATACCCTCTAAAAATGAATTAGAACCTTCACCGCCACCTCTACAACTAACCCCACGTTATAGAGAACGGTTGAAGTAAGAAATAGGCAGTCAGAGACAACCAAATATCATGAATTATGAAAAGGTTGAAGGAAGAAATAGGCGTTTAAAGACAGCCAACTATCATCGGTGCATTATGAACGTCCCTGCAATCTGGTTAGGTATTACTTATCCAACACAAACATGAAGCAACCTACTTCAAGTAATTTGATAGGGGTAAGTGGATAAAGAACACACAGGTTGATGTCTTAGTGTCTTACAATTCTCGGGTAAATCTCAGCTTCCAGGCTTGGGGACAAGGCAGATTTGAAGCAGGCAGCAATGATAGCAAACGAGGAAAGTTAAATCACAGAAATTAGGGACCAAATTGAGAATCTTGCTACATAGATGTTGATCTTCTGAGGATGATTTTAGGCATCTTGTTAACTTTTGTTGATAATAACCTATTAATTTCTATATTTCACGCTTCAAGAATGTAAGTTGAAATCCTCTTAGAGAAAGGAGGAAGGAGGATTTTGGTAAGGAATAGCATAGATCAATGCCAGATCTATGCTTATAATGGATGGGGCCAAGGCCTCTCAGCCCAATTTTCTTTGTATAAGTACTACTATGTATATATTACTCCCTCCGCCCCTCAAAGAAGTTCCCACTTTGACTTGCACACATATTTATGTTAGATAAAACTTTGTTTTGGCTTTCTAAATATACTCGTACTTTATGTCAAATCAAGCAAAAAGTAGGTAAGAAGTAAGGGCAGTTGTGACATTTGCTATTAAAAACTCTCCTTTTATAGAAATGGGAACTTCATTTTGAGACATCCAAAAAAGGAATCCGGGAACTTCTTTCAGACGGAGGTAATATTAAAATACATAGTATGGATCCCTCTAAGAAATTGTAGAAAAACACATGACTTATACAAAATAAAGTTCACATTTATATGAAATTATAATTTAACATAACTTATTATAAAATTTATAAGTCAATATGAGTTTGATATTACTTAATCTACTAATGTATCTTCTTAATGAACTAAATTTATTATGAACCATATTGATTGCGCTTTTATCTTTCCCATCATTCAAGTTGTATGTTAATCATAGTCAAACTCCAGTTAAAGTTGATACATCTCTTAGACATTGTATATTTTTATTTTTTAAAAACACAATTTTTGGTGTGTTCGAATTACATTTACTTCTGTAAGTTGTGGATATTGATATTTGTCCATACTTTTAATAAATAAATAAAATTGCATTTTGAATATTTGCATTGCCTGAGGCTATGTAAGTTTGACTTTCTACATTCTCTTATCCCATTTTGAGATTCCTCCCTACATAGCTACATAAGCAATATACGTGATTTATTATATTATATGAACATCTATTTTCTGTCAATAACATGTTTTTAGTAGAGAATTACTATAAAATTTATAATTGCATTTTTACAAAAGTTAGGCTCGCTTATGTTGAATTTCTAGCTCCAACCACTTGCATAGCCAATGCTGGGCACTTGCTGGGGAGTTTTGTCGGAAGCTCATTTTAGTCCGTCTATGTTTTAATTTTTTTGAGCGACCAATAAAAGCTTTCCTAATTCTTAATATATGGTTTTTCTACTCTTCACTCCCAATCAAGCCCAATCAAGTGCAATCCACTGCCCCACAGTGTGAATCAGCTCTGCGTGTGAGGTCAAGTGAACAAGCAATGCATGCATGCACGAAAAATAGACTGTACATGAGATCAAAAAGATTTATAAATTGTATAAGCACCTTCCACCACATTGGACTCAACCAAGAAATCTTGCCCCTTTCTTTGTTGCTCTTCATTAATATCAATATGTTCTCCCTCATGACAATCGTGCTTCACTCTTCTCTTAGCTCTCTTAATTTGAGGAGCTTCATAGGCAAGATTTAACCTTTCAACAACTTTAGTTGAGATTCTTTTGGGGTTCTTCCTTAAAGTGTTTTGGACAATATCTGCACGGTTCTCTTCAGAAGAAACCTTACTTCCCAATGCTTCCACTGCCAAAGATCCATTGCCTGGATTCCATGCAGTGAGTTAGATGTGAGTCTTACATATATTGTCTATATGATAGTACAACAACGATTGAGGATGAAAAATCAGATCTCTCCTGTCAGTGGTGGACTTATATTGGTTCTGGAGTGTTCATGAGAACACACAGAAATATAAAATAGAAGTATAAAGGTCTCAACTATAAAAATACTACCTCCATCCCATAATGTAAGATGCATGTGAGTTTGTGCGGATTTTAAGAAACTAAAAGATAAAGTGGTTGTTTTACAATTCTAACTTCCAAAAAGTAAGAAAGAGAAAATGGATGCACAAAAAAGTAAAGGCTAAAATAATAGATAAAGGGGTAAAGTGGGAAAGTAAGAAGTTAGTGGAGTCTAATTTAAGAAAGTGTTCTGATTTTGAGAACAGCCCAAAAAGGAAAGTGTATCTTACAAAATGGGACGGGGGAATACATGTGTAGAATTGATGTAATAATTTGTGCACTTTAATTGTATATTTGTATGATATTTCTTGATTTTAACTTCATTTGCTAGTTTTTGTAGTTGAAAGGATGTAAGTGTAGTATTATTTCGTAGAAAATAAAACTGTTTAGATTTTTAATAGCAAGATAATTTTGATCTGAACATCCAAAATTCAGGAATTAGATCCGCCGTTGTGTCTTGTCACTACATAAAACATATTATATGTTGTATTAAAGATTAAAGGATACCATTGTGTGTGTCATTTAGGAAACTCTTGAAGGCCAATACAAGCTCATGCTTGCACCCTTGAGTAGACAATCCAGCACTCCTACGCATTCCAAATTTAGATGATAGTCTCAAATTTGATGCTATAAAACTGAAAATGGTTAGGTAGCCTGGTAACCCCAAAAACATTTAATTCACCCATCTCAAAGCAACGTGATAATCCCAAATTGTTGTGTTCTTAATATCTTGTGTATGACTGCATGCTTCCACCAACTATTTGTTAGAGCACTATGCCAAGGTCTAGCACCTAAGGGCCGTTTAGCACTTCAGAAAATTGACTCAAACTGAACCAATTTAGCGTAAAATAGTGAAAACAAAGTGAAAATTCTGCGTTGATTGGTTAAAAAACATAACATATTGATAAAACTTGGTACTATTTGCAAATAAATAAATATTATTTTCTCTATCCCATCGAGTTTAAGGCAAGGGACATGACACACATTAAAAAAAGTATAATACATACTTGGTATTGACTTTGTAAAAGTAGGGATAATTGTGGGCCATTCAATATAGCCAAGCATGGTATGGAACTCAATTTGCAACCGTCAACAACAACAACATCCAAGCCTTATTCCCAAAAGATTTTGGGGTCGGAACTGGGGGTGGGGCTTTGGAGCTGGGAATTGGGGAACTGATTAGAACTTAATCTTTATAACTTGGTTCAGATCTTACACTTGGATTATTACTTTTTACGGTTCGGAACTTTGGTTCCTATTCCTTGTTAATGGTTCTATTAAAAATATGTTCACTGAACCATTAAGAAAATGTTATTCATTAACTAATTTGTTATCCATTACAAATCCTTTAAGGCCAGCAATTAGGCCCGCATTACTGTATGGAGTACAGCCGTATACTGTTGGGCGGTGAAACAATCCTTTAAGGAAACTTCTATTAGAAGGATTAATTTTAACAGTTGAGTTTTTAAAAAAGGTTTCACCAATTTTTAAAGGCTCAAACCGGTCCCAAAATGGCATAAGTGTGCGCATATTTGTTTATATACACGCATTTTCTGCCTTTCTGGTACAAGGTAGATTGTGATTGAAACCCTATTATTCCTGATTTCCTGTAAGAGCATTTACCTAAGATTTAACCTGAGTTGTCGAACAGTCATTTTCTCCACGTTAGCCTCAAACTCAGTTTCACCGCTCTCAGCAGCAGTCTCCTATATTTGGAAGAAACAATGAGTAACAAATTACTACGAGTACATATTACAAACAAGTATAATATTTCAAAACTAAACTAAAACCTTATCATAAAAAGCTTATCACCTTTTTAGTGCCCTTCCAGTGCTGAGAAGGTCCAACATTCACAGGCTCGCACAGGTTCGAGGTGGTGGGGGAGCAAGAAATCCGTCTTTGAGGTGCCATTGTTCTAGATTTTACAGAAAGCAGTGCCTCAAATCCCCGGTTCTTCGAAGCGTTAGAAACACTACAAATAAGAGCTAAAAATTCCTAAAGTTCAAAAGATAGAACAAATAACAAAGTATAGAAGAAACGATATGTAACAATTCCGGTGAATTCAATGATAGGCGTAATATTAAAGCGTACGGTTATACTTTCTGACGCTGAAGGAGCTCCACAAGCTCATCCACACCAGTTCAGGTCGGTACATGGAGCAGCCGCGGGGTTGTGTCTTTTCCGCGCGAGATCAACCGGAAGTACGGTGATATTTCATTTGTGATTTTAGTGCGGTAATCTCTGTGGTTTTTGTTGTTACCTAACAAATTGTTGGAAAATTATTTAGTATTTCAAATAAATCAAAATTATTTTGAATAGCTTTTAATACTTGACCACACGTTTAAGTTTTATTTGTAAAGCTCGTATTCTAAGTGCTTTGAATAAGTATGCATGGCTGTCCTTATTTCACTCCTACAACAGTGGATACATAAACAAATCCAACTATTTATTTCCCTATATATGTGAAGCACTAAAGCACCTTACGTTACTCACGATGTAGCACACTGCCGTTTTATTATCAACCAGCTTTTCCTTCTTGTTTTATAAATTGTTAGCTTCAACTCTTCTTTGGCGGATAAGACCAGAAAACTTTCTTTGACACATATATTAAAACTCTGCTGGATTACATACTGTACTCAGGGGCGGATCTGGCATAGGGCCAGGGAGGGCCTAGGCCCCACCTCAAAAAAAAAGAAATTACTAGTATATATATATATATACATATATATATATATATATATATATATATTATATGTACTGTGAAGAAATGGTATAATTAGAACAAACGTCCTATTGTAAACAAAAGTTACATTGGTGTGATGGTAGAGACGTGATTGATAGTGTAGAGGTTATGTGTTCGATTCCTAGCTGGAGCAGCAGTTTTTTTGTATTTTCCATCCAAGTCCAGGAACATGCTATCTTACACAAATCAAGTCTGAATTTTAACTTTTGAATACTAGGATGCAAAAATTAAGTAGTCCAACTAAGTGGGCTTTATTGGTCTGAAAAACCGATTAGTTCAATTGATTGAGCTTTTTGAATATTGTCCTAAAAATTAATTAGTTTAATTCATTGGGCTTTTGAATATTGACCGAAAAATTAATTAGTTGAATACATTGGATTTCGTAGGTGAAAATAAGTTTTCTTTACATAGAGTATAGATTTTAGAGTAAAAAAATCGGTTTATCTTGTTTCCGAGAAACTAAACTAAAAATTGGCACTAAACATTTGGGTAACGGATAAAACTTCGGTTCGATATCTATGACTTTTAAGATAATTGTATTGTCGATTCTGTAATATTCAATTTATTCTTTGACATTTCTATAATTTACATTTTGACTTCTAAGATATTATTATACTGTACTACATTTTGACATTTTTTATAATATACGTTATTTAATTAAATTTTGGCCCCACCTGAACGTAAATGCTAGATCCGCCCCTGACTGTACTTCTTATCCTCGTAGTTCTGTGTTCGGCGATCCTCTGCCGAAGGGCTCGTTATATCCTGGAGAAAGATTTCCGTCCGTCAAAAATACTTTCTGAGGACAACGTTTATGCGTCTCGAGCCATGCTATTCTCTGTTATTTTTCTTTGCAGAATCAAACAAGCAGTCATGTGAGAAGAAAGAGGACATTGGAGTAACCATGTGACTGCAAAATTATCGGAAAGAAATGAAGGAGCATTTAACTGGAGTGCTATGTGTCCATCAACCGGATTTGGACAGCTAGGAGGAGGTGGAGACATTTTCCCCAACAATCTCAGAAAGTATTTACGGCAAAAGAAAGCCCAACCCATCATCACCATGACGGGAGTTTTACTCTAGAGAAGTTTGATGTTCTGGCCATTGTTAGTGCGTAAAATATTGCAAGATCCGGTAATTGTTTTTTTTCGACATAGTATATCTACGTTACCTACCATAACCTCACATCTTTTTTGTATTGAGATTTTTTAGATTCTCGCTTTCCACCTTACTTGCAACAAGCCTTGTTTTAATCCCACTTTTATAATTTAATAAATATCATTTGGTGATAAAAAGACACCGACAAAAAACAACACACCACAATAATCAAGTTTAAACTTGATTAAATGTGATGATATTTTTGTAGCGGTTGTTTGTCAAAGTTGTAAAATTAAATGGTGTGAATGAGTGGATGGTAGACTTCGGGGCTACCAAGCACATTTGTAAAAACAAAAGTGCTTTAACCTCCTATACTACTATAGGGGATGATGAAACTACTCGATACATTACCGAAGGATGTCGTCCGCGAGTGATTCTCAAGACATATCTAGAGAGCCCTCAGTTGGGTAAGAAACTTTTACCGATGAAGGGTCGCCAAGCTCCGAGGCCTCTTCCGACAATGATTCCGCCGTAGAACAGGAGGTGCAAAAAGATCTTAGAGCCAAGGCCGAGGAGTTTGAGCAAGTTGTTGAGGATGAGGAGCTTGCCCTCGTCGTACAGACCGCTAAGGAGGAGGAGGAGAAAGAGAGGCTGAAGGTTACCATCGGTGTCCTTCCCCAGGGTAATGCCGGTGAGGTGAGTAGTTCCCGGCCTCTTGACCCGAAACCTCTCAAGGTGGCCCTGGGTAAGAAAAAGAGGAAGGAGAGGGCCGCACCAAAGAAGAAGCAGGCCGTTGTTGATGTTGGGCAGCCAGTGGGTATCCCCGAAGGCCATTCGTATCTGAATACTGCTGCCCTGGAGGTGACGAAGAGGGCAACACATGCTGAGTATCAAGCCACGTAGTTCTTCGTCGACCCTTCGGCACGCGTGGTGGAACCAGGGCTAGACGGTGTATTGTTGCGTGCGCCAGAGGGTTGTTTTGTCGTCCACATATTGTCAGTAGAATTAGGGCTCCGGTTCCCGCTCCACCCATTCGTGCTGGAGTATTTAAGGTTCGTGAAGCTGGCCCCTATCAGTTGACACCCAACAGCCACTCTTACCTCGCTGGCTTCCTTTCCCTATGCCGGAGCCGGGGGGTCGAACCCACCTTGGACCAGTTCTTCCTTTCGTTCAATCTCTACCGAGGGGGCATTCAAACACCAGAGGCTTCGCCAATTTGCAGCATGTCCCGGAGTTCAGGCTTTTCAACGATGTTCCTTCATCCCACAAAGGATGGAAGGACACGTTTTGTTATGTCCGCATGGTGGAGAACCCCTTCCCTACCCCTCTTCGTGATAGCTTCCGGAGACACCTGGAGGTGGAGGGTGCCGCTCTCGAGAAGAATGGGAGGAAGCTTGCCAAGAAGCCGGAGGGGTCTGAGAAGCATGTGACGATTAGAGATGCTACCCTCCCGGATGAAATATACGATCTGAGCTTCCACCGATACTGGCTGATGGGGGAGGAAGATGAAAGATACCCCCATAGATTGTGTTTATGAGAGTGTCGGAGGTGATTCATGAAGGCTCTAGTATTTTGTACTTAGAAATTTTTTGCAGTCTCATTTCTGTTGTTGTCTCGACCCCTCAGCCTTATTATTTGTGTTGTCTTGCAGGTGCCAATATGGATGTGAAGTCCTTTGTCGGTCTGAAGAAGAAGTTGGCCAAGGAGCCAAAGAAGAATGAGACGGGGTCCCAAAACCCCATTGATGAGTTCTTCAAGAAAGATGGGGAGCCCTCATCGATAGTTCCTGCTGCCACTGAAGATGCTGAGGGCAGAGGCACCAAAGGCGAAGCTGCAAAAAGGAAGGCAGCAGGCAAAGCTGTGGTGCCGGCCGGGAAGAAGCACAAGAAAGGGGATGCTGAGAAGAAGGCTACCCCCGTCGTGATTATTGAAGAGCACTCCTCTTCTGAGCCCCCGATGTTGACGGTGACGACCCCTTCTAAGCCCCCTCGGAACATATGGGTGAGGGGGCCTTACCCTGGGAGAACGTACAGTTCTCCCTCATAAAGGGGACTATCATCATGCATGGCACAGTGGACCCGAAGGAATTCCTGAGGGGTGCTACCCCTCCATTGGATAAGGCAGCCCTCAGCCGGTATGAGGATGACGCCCTCGAGTCTAAGATCCTCTGTGCCTCTCTTACTGTAAGATTCCTTACATTTTTTTGTCTCCTTAGTCAATTGACCTTAGTGTATAGTAGTCTAACCCCTGTCGTTTGCTTGTCTGCTTACAGGCTTGCATCGGCCTCGGCGAGCAACTCCGGAGGGTAAAAACTTTGCGCCTTGAGAAGGCACAGTCTGACGAGTCCTTGAAGAAGCTTGTCAAAGAAAATGTTGCTATCGTGAGGGAGATGGCGAGACTGGAGGAAACCCTTCGGCAGACCATCGAGGGGATGGAGCATAAGCTGGAGGCTTCTAGAAGAGAGGCCAGGGCCAAGGGCAAGGCCGAAGCTGAAAAGGCCACTACCGAAGCTGTCAGGACTGTTGTCAAGGATGCCGAGGCAGCCAAGGGAGAGGCCATCGCCCATGCTCGGAGGGATGCTGTTGCCGCCTTCGTTTCTGATGGTTGGAAACCCGAGGACCAAAAGCAATGGTTGGCTTCGGTGGTGGAGGCGACAATCTCGGGCCATCGTAGGCCAAAAGTAGCCCTGGACTATAAGCTTTCGGGACATTGAGAAGGGTCCCTGGTGAGCTGAGCAAGTGCCACTGTGCACTTCCTCCATCGCAACTTCGGCTTCATCCTGATGAAGGCATCAAAGTAAAGTGCCGTTGTAGGATCATTTGTAAAGCCTTCCGATTTCGAGGGTGTAGCTGGGAGCCCTCAGCTTGGCTAATTTTTTGTGGTCTTCATCGTCGGGTAATTGCCCGATAGTGATGTAGTTGGCGATGTCCGAGATCCAGTCTTTCGGTCTCTGTTGTATGTCCATGACGGGGCTAGCGTGTATGCTGGAGAGGCTGAGTTCCTCTATTCTTGCGATCTTGGAGAGGTGTTCCGGAGACTCATCCGAGAGTTTGGATAAGATGTCGGCTTCAAAATTTTGAGCCCTCGGTATTTGAGTGATGGAGTGAGCCTCAAATACCTTGAACAATTCTTTGACTGCTTCCCTGTACTGCTTCATTCTTCCTTCCTTTGCCTCATACTCGCTAGAGATCTGGCCAACTACTAGCTTAGAATCACACTTTACATGGATCATCCTTGCTTTGAGGTTGGCCATCAGCCGAAGGCCACAGAGGAGGGCCTCATACTTCGCTTCGTTGTTGGAAACTTTGAAAGAGAAGCGGATGGTGTAGTAGGCGCGGAAGCCTTCGGGTGTAATGAGGACCACGCCCCTCCACACGTTTTTGTTTCCCAGGACCCGTCTGCGTAGAGAATCCACCATTCATCCCCCTGTGCTGAGGGCTCTTCTAGCTCAGCTGACCTCGAAGTGCATTCTGTCACGAAATCTGCCAGGGCTTGGCCCTTTATGGCAGGCCTCAGACGGATCTCAATGTTGTATTGGCTCAGGAATATAGCCCATTTCACCATTCGGGAGGAGCCGGTGGGACTCCTCATCAATGCGCCGAGGGGTTGGTG